CATGCATATAGCTGGCATTTCCATATTAGTTCATTTCAAAAGACTTGGATGAAAGAAACATAACAATTACTTAGGCTCTCGATTCAAAGAAAAATGACGATTAGTTGTTTAAATCCTTTACTTTAAAACAACAGATCTTTTGTTTACCAACCGGCTTCCAATTCATCATCATATCTATTAGAATGACAAATCGAATGCAACATGCTGACCGCCAACTATCCAGTTTCAATTTGAGAGATTTACCGGACTTTGAGCGTCAGCAATCGCCTCTTCAATCGAGGTCTATTTTATTCCCAGCTAATTTTCACGCTTCCCCTCCTGCAGCTGCAAGCTCTATAGCAGAAATAAAGGCTCATCCTTTTGTCCTTGCGTTAAAAAAGAAAGAGGGGAAATAGAAAAGAAAAGGGGAAAAATAAAGCCCCCCACACGCGATCTTATAACCCCATTGCGAGTAATAGCCCTATGCGCTATAGCTATAGTCCTACGTCATCGGCACGCGACGCTAAAATGGTAATCATTTTGCTTTGTCTTCTAACGTACCCGTAAATGAACTAGCCGAACAAAAACGATACAATTTATTCAATCTCAGACTCTATTTCATGCGATTGAGGGCGGCCAATATCATTTGCAAAATGCGGTTTATGGTGGTGGCTAGCGAGTCGTGAAATTTTGTGGGATGTATTTTGGTTACACTTGACGTAACCTTGAGTTTGAATAAATAAAATTGACATTGTCTGATAGAGTGCGAGTTAGTATTCTATTCGAGCTGAGAAATAGCGAGAGATGAATTGTGGCATATCGTTGATTTCTTTCAGATTTCATTATGTAAAGAGCTGATTGCTCATTGACACATGTAACAGAATCTGATAGGCTATTTTCTTCATCTTTTACTCAAATGTTCTTCATCTCTTTAAGCATGTTTACCTCTCTACCGCTCTCCATCTCTCCCCCCCCCCCCCTAGGGACTTACATCAAGTGTACTTTTTTGTCCTCCTTTTAGTCCTCAAGTATATGTGACTGTAGTAATTTATCCAGGGTTGTAAATGTTTACCCTTTGATGAATCTTAATTGCCTCAATTTCATCTCAATCTCAGTACATATACATGTTCCAACAAATTAAATATATCATCTTCGTTATAATCATGATTCATAGTCATTAATATCATCATCATCACTGTCAGTGTCATTCTGATTTATTTGTGTTGTTGCCACCACCACCACCACCACCACCACATAGTGTCATCAACATCACCACCAACATCACCACTACCACGACCAACACCACCTCCAACTTGACAAACCGCCACCATCATCATCATCACCCAAACCCCACCTCTACACAAACATCCTCATCATGGTATATGCATCAACCTCTACCAGGACATCCACCTGTACAACAACCTTTCAATTCAACAGCCAGCTCTTCCACCACTATACATCAAATCAAATGAAACAGCGTCGAAGTCATGTACTTATCATACAATCAGAAATAGTGTGCTCTTTTATTATCAGTATCGTACATGTATAGTAATGATACGATGGATTTCACACAGAGATCTATAGACAAGAGGAAATCATCTCTGCCTACCTCAGTCCCAAATGCGACTGACATAAACAAATGACCAACTTAGGGGGTAAGGAAAAAGATATTTCTCAAAAAGGGGGAAAAACAAAGACAATACATCACACAATGTGACAATATCTTTATATATTACTTCTCATTTGAAAAAAAAGAAAGAAAAGAAAACTACTATACAAACATAGTATGCAGTTAAAACTATAAACTAAAACAAAAACATCTTTGTACCACTATGATTCAAACGTAATACAGCACAGGCGATGATGACGATACTTTTGTTAAAAGTTTAACGTCACTTCTTCAAGTGAACCAAAACATATAACACATCGACAAAGTCTTCTTTTTCTGTTAAAAGAAGCCTCCATGAAATTGAGACTCAGCTTGCTATGATTTACATGTTATGCGGTATGCTTCTGGAAAATTAAAGCAACAACTTTGTCAACCAATAATCATCTGGTTTTCTTCTATTTGTAAAAACTTTTTTATTCAAATGAGAAAAAGCAGCATAAAAAAAATTGTTTGAGTTTAAACTGTTTTGGTTATTCAAATAAGTAACAGAAATAAATTATTATAAAAAAAGTAATAATTAACAATGGCCACAAAACTGGCACTCTTTTTGCTTCTTGAACTAGCATTTTTTTTTTTAAATTAAAGCGACCAAGAGAGGATGCATAATTACTTTATCAGGAAGAAAAGACCTGAATCTAAATTTGATTTTGATAAGGATAAAATACCCTGAATCTAAAGCTGACAAGAACAGACTTATCACTAAAAGTATATCTACAAGAGATTTGGCAATTCAAAATAAAAATGTGTGCAAACAATTTTTCTTGGAAAATAAATATCTGACATTTACGTTGGAAAAGGAATTTCCTTTTTTATTGATGTCATAGCTGTTTTTTGGCATCTATACTTGGCAGTTTGTCTACTAACATACTCTAAGTACACAACATTTATTAAAAAAAATGTTTATGAGATGTCTTCAAAAATTTATCATTGATTGCTTATTCCTAATGAAACAAAACTGTCACCTATTTTTAGTGAGTTTCTATTTTTTTTTAAAACCCATCAGAAATAAATATTAAAAGGATTTATATGAGACCAAATGAAACCTATTAATGATCAGCTGCGGATTTGAATTAAATGGAAATAAAGACATTGACCCTAGCTGGGTTTCATTCATCCTTAGGATAGCCATTATGATTTGATCAGCAATTTAGGCATTAAATCGTAAATAATATATCTTGTGACTTGTTCTGTGTCTGTGTTGCTATCTATTTAAAGTCATGTAGCCCCATCCTATCACTACGCAAACAATGAATATCCTGGAACTATCTGCAAACGAGAAGAGAGAAAGAATGAGATACGATGATAACGCACTCGATGAAAAACAGTCAGGTACAAGACATTTTAAAATCATCACAATGTGTATCTTATAGCAGTTGCATTATTGTCAATTCTGACTTCCATTTCTTTCTTTTTGAATCTTCAAAATCCTATTTACATCTGACATAATATTTTTTGGCACTTTCCTCACGTTGCTAAAAAAAAAATGAAATAAAACTAACATGACACCATTATTACACATATCGACTTGACACCAACAATACAAATCATTATAACTGTTAAAATCTTCATGTAAATAAACACATTCTGTTGAAATTAATACATAAACAGAGCTTATTATCTTTCTCAAAAAACATTTGTCTAGTGATTTACAGTCGATAACCAAGCCATTATTTACAATTATATCAGTGAACTATAGACAGATTAAATCATCATCACCATCCCTCGTTTCAGTCTCAATATTTGATATTGAAATATACCCACGCAACAAAAAAGGTACATGTATAAAGTGGGCTTACATATAAATTGGGTTGATAAAAAAGGGTCAAACAGAATCAAGATGACATTGTTTTTAAGAGCTTCTCATATGTAGTATTCACACAAGTAGCCCAACCCTTGGGTGTAGCAGCATTTGGCACTCGTGAGTAGTTACATATATTTGGCCTGAATCTTTTTTGCTCTCCAAAAGCATTCCTTCTTTAATATCGGAGAGAGAGTAGTGTGCAATTTGATAACGCTACAGAGGGGACCTATAATTGGTAATGGCAATACTTGAAGTGGCTTCAATCGAAGGCCTGACTAAAACTGTGTTTTTATCACAAGAATTGTGACATTTTGTTTTGTTTGTCTGTTTTGTTACTTCTGAAGTATGCCTATTTGGAAGTAAGGCCAATTACTAAAGTCAGGGAAAAGATAACAATGTTAAAACAGAAAAGCCACAACCCTCGAACAACAATCAATTTAATCTATTAAAAAAGAGAACATCCCGCTTATTTTGCAGTAAAACTCCTTTTACACACGGGGATGATAAAAATTGGCAAAGATTTTGACAGAGAGTAAAACTGTCTTTCCTCTGCAGCAAAATATTCATGTTTAAAAGACAGTGAAAGACAACATTTTTACAAAAATGAAATTATTTTTCAGAAATCAGCCATACATCCTGACGATCTGTTTTCCAATACTGTGTTGTCCAAGCAAACGGGAGGTTTTCGACTCGAGAAAACAAATTCATAATACTACACTGAGTTCTCCTAGTGAATGAAATTCACTAATCAAAAGAATGTTTAATACTTTCAACTGTTATTATCCAAAAATGTGATAACATCGTTCGATCATATCCAGCTTATCTTTGACTGAAAGAAATACTGACTTGAATCACAATGTACTTGTGAGCAAATCAAAATGATTAATTAGTACAAAACTTTTGTAGGTTAAGCTTGGAATGGTGAAATCATAGATAAGATGAATAAATGCAGAGAGAGAAAGAGAAAGAGAAAGAAGAGATATAGATAGATAGATAGAGAGAGAGAGAGAGAGAGAGAGAGAGAGAGAGAGAGAGAGAGAGAGCGATGTCACCACATTAGAGCAAAAAACAAAATATTAGATATTTGGCAAATAAAGAACAAAATAAGTTTTCAATCTGGCTCTCTCTCCTTCTTTCTCCTGCTACTGAAGTTGAACGAGGGAGAGTTTCAGAGGTCCTGAGACAAAAGACTTGCTACCATACTTCTTTATCAAACAATCAATCCAATAATACTGATCCAAACACTTACTACAACAAATGCATGTCTTGAATATAAATTTGGATTAACCGACAGAATACCCTTTTTGCAAGAGGATTTCCGCAACATTCATGGCATACCACAATTTCGTCTTTTTAAAATCGTTTGTGATGGTAGGCAGAAAGTTGTAATTGATGTGCCAAAATACGAAACCTACCAAAGGATATTGATGTGATAAGTTAAATTGTATATCCCTGATCATATTATTTGCCTCTTTATTGAGAAATAAGTTAAATCTACTAATTGATTTCATTCTCCCATGTACAATGAATTAAAACACATAAATACTGTGATTCATGATATTAACATTTTATAAATTATATTTATTTGAACTTAAAAATCTTTAAAAATCATTATTGGCACATATATAAATACAAGTTGTGAATTATTGAGTCGTTGATTAGGCCCATTTGGCTTGATCATATAAAATATAAGAATTATAACAAGCATTACTTCAAAATCTTCACACGGGTTATGTAATATGACCCAAAATGTATGCACTCATTTATTCTTTCTCATGCATGCTAGATATCTGTTTCTATACTAGCTCAGTGTATTAATACCGCTCCCCCCCCCCTCCTCAACTCAGATTGCGACAGAGCAGAACTGAATTGACATAAAGGAACAGACATCAACACATTGGGGATACCATGCATACGGATCACTCCCAACACCACAATCAGGTAAATGAAGGAAATCTCTTGCCGATATCTCCTTTAATTCTGTGGAATGACTAAGAAATGAAGAACAAACGATTCTTGCGGAGATCCCTGATCCGGTCCTTAGCACAGGGAGTGACTGCCTGCCTCATGTCTCTGTTGGATGGATGGCAGAAGTCAAGCTTTTGTCCACTTCCTGCATCTCCGGCTTCTGCAGAACCCTCAGGAATCGAGTCTGATGAAGTTACCCGGACTCGCAGAATGGTTGGACACACGATCATTATCATGCTGGTGATATCCCTCAAGCTATCTTATATGCATGTTGAAAGCATTTGGAAATCCATTAATCCAGACTTGTCCAAACTTGCAAATCAACAAAACAAACTTTTTGAAAATGTAGTTGATTCTCATTCAAATTGTAGGAAATGGTCTTTAATACTTCGGTTATTACAGATCATATTGGATCTCTCTTTGGCCACTTAGGAAATATGTCATTGACTTGGCATAGTTAGTACATGGGATGATCCAATACATAGGGTGTATTGGTGCTTCAGCAACCACGGATCATCTTAGGGTTCAACTTCCATGCGTTATTCTTTGATAAAATCAGCCTCTTGTCTGTATGTTTGGCCTCGTCCTACCATCTCCCAACAGGTCGAGGTCCCGTCCTCTAGGCAAGTCAGTCTTTACCCTCAAAACGTCAAAGTCAAATCATCCTTTGTAATGTTAATTGACAATTATTGTTGGGATTGACCTATCAATGATTCCAGGATCTCTCTTTCCGACTGCTGCACCCACCGCTTCCTCACGCACGGAGGCCAAACATCTATTTCGAGTCCATCTCCCTCCAGAAAAGGGCCAAACGTTAAACGTTGAAGATCTCTGAGATGAGGGGGAAGAGGCTCTCAAACTGGGAATCGGGAAGCTTCATGGACATGAGGTCGTCGACGTGGTGCGTGACCAGGTCTCGTACATCGGTCAGCTTCATGATGAGCTTGGCGAAGAAGACCTTGTCTTCGGGATGGTTGATTTTGGTCAGGGTCTGGAGCGTCTCTACCATCGGCCTCTGGATCTGCTCCACGTCTTCTCGACTCACAATCTCCGGCCGATCTAAGGGACAAAGCATAAAGGACATATCAACATGGAAATCACATCACTCAAGGTACTGCTAAACATTAGCTATTCATACACATTGAGGCAATCAATCAGCAAACTCCTTTTACATTATAATCTTTTATGATTTTATATTAATTGGAAATAAAAGTAAAATAAAAGTATATCAGCACAAGTCAATACCTCATAAGTAAAATAAAATAGCAGGTTTACTGAAAGCGTTTTAAGACAACGTAATTACTTTGAGACATCATTGAGCTCTCATGAAAAAAAGTTACAATTGCAATTAGAGCAAAATGATTCTTACTGCCTCAAAAATGATCTTTTGACAAATGAATTCTGCTCATCATTACAGCAGGATGAAATATAAATAAATGGAAGTGTATATCCTTGGCCCTGATTCTGAATTTGGAATCTACCACTATCTAACTGACTAATATCTAATTGACTAATATCCAACTCCCTGCCAAAGAACAGTCTGAGTCTTACCTGGTGAAATGATTGTGATTGCTTGCAGTAATGCATACTCTTGTTTGGTCAGCATCATACCATTGACTGCCTGGATAAACTTGAGCGTTGGTTCTGTCGCAGTCAGAAACCCTGATGACAACATGGACTCGAAGGACCATTCGCTGCCTGTGATGTCGTCAACGATTACATTGCGCTCCGGAACGTAGTTCTCGGCACACCTCAACATGAGGACTTCAAGGATAGCGTTCTTGATGAGCACTGCCTGCTCATCGTAGGGCAGCCTGCGGAAGGCTGGAATGGCCTTGGTGAAGGCAACAGTTTGCCGGATGACAACACCCATTAACGTCATGTTGTAGATGATCATCTGCTGCATAGTGGGTTGGGAAGGGAGCATGGCCATTTTATCTTTTTCATTCAAGCCCGGTTCCTTCTTGATCTTGTCCGATATCCTTTGATTGTCCACCTGACAAGACGTTGAGGTGAGGCTCGGCGAGTGGTCCAGGGGTTCCTCCTTTAAACAAATGTGTTGGGGCTTGTCGTGCGGATATCTTTGGTGGAGCTTGTCATTGTCTGCTTTGTCCAGTGCAGAATCCATTTTGATCATGCGAGGGTCGCTGGCCATCATGCCACCAGGGTGGGGTGCCATCATCATGTCCTTGGGCGGGAAGGGGGAGCTGGGATAAAGACTGAAAGGATTGGCACCATTGCAGTTCATATTGGCAAACATTGCTTCTGTCTTGTCCTGGAATGCTTGCATCTTCCTCAAGATTTCATCAATTTTCCCATTTGGCTGTTTGAAGACAACAAGAAGAAAAAAGAGAGAGAGAGAGAGAGAGAGGCATTAATAACAAGTTGCTCAAGATTGTTCACTTTGTCTTTACAAATACATGTTAACTATTAGTCTTACCATGAGAAAACAATAAGACTTGGCAGAAAGAGAGCAGCCGGGGGAGTATAAAAAATGCATGACATCTTATAGAAATGCTCTAGAAAGATACTATGGAGTATAACTGAATCCTTTTAAAGATTGTTAAAAGAACAAAGAAAATGCATGGAGAAAAACTACACCCTGTAAACAACTTTTGAATACATGCAATACGCATCATTCTTACTTTTGAATCATTAATTTCAAGAGAGGACATGTACACCAAAAAGTTCTCACACTTTCTTCTTTCCGGTTGAAGAAAAATTCAAGCCATGTGCAATGCTATGGGTCCCTGGTGAAGATATCCCAGGAGCCCAATTATAATGTATGGAAACCCCACTTGTTACACTCTGCTCTATTTAACAGGCAACATTTCTTCACTAATCGCTCAGGTTCTGATCAATCGCCGTCTGCAATTGAATATTCATTTCAGCACTTGACACTAATACGCCTTGCTTGCAGCGGGTCCTGCGATTTATGTCCTCATGTTTCATGTATATCTGCTGCAAAATGAGAAGCGTCTGCGCGCCACGCAATCCGGGTGTAATCAATACGCCACTCCGCGAAACTGGGTTAAGTTGCCGACGATTCCTCTAGTCTGCTCTACTTCCGTAAATGTTATTTTGAGGACGAGTCGGCTGAAAATTCGGGCAAGCGAATCGCAGACGAAAGATGAGAATTTGGAAAATGGAGCAACGGTGCAGGCACACATAACCCTTCAGCTAAGTCGTCTGAATACACTGTCTAAGGTGACAGGGCGCTATGTTCTGAGAAGATTTTAATTGATGCACAAACAGAGCTCCTAGCATCTGTTGCACGAATGTTTCCCATTACGTATTCCAAGCAGAAGAGGGCGATGTTATTCTAGAAGCGCCACGGGACCATATGGGCGCTGGGGCTTGTCCGATATGTCCCTTGGAGATGTATCACGGAGGCCTGCCGAGCGTGATCACCATCATAGATTCCCTCTGCATCACGTGCTACTCAGCATCTCTCCACCGGCAAAGGTGTGCTCGGTGGTGTCACCTGACCACAGAAACGCATCATCCGCAGATAACTTTCCCTAAAATTACGCATCTCCGGATAGCTCATGAATAATGCATGCGTCTTAAGAAGAGGGGAGAGGGGAGAAGGGGAGCACGTCTGACGAAGCCCTTGCAGGTAGCGGCAAGCTTTGATTACATATTTCTTCGCTGTAACCTATTTCTCAGGCCTCTGGTTGGCTGCGGAATGAGGGAGGAGGATTCCCTTGCATCGAAGCACAAGGGACAACTAAAAGACAGGCAGTAATCAGTCCTATTTGGGGTATGGTTACTTGACTTCAGACACAATTTTGATGAAAACTAGGCCAACGCATCCATCATTTTCTCTCCTTTCCAGGTTCTGTTGACAGAATGTTCCTATCACCTTGTACAACCCAATACAGCGCTTGGCCTAATTCTGGAGTGTACGGCAGCACAACAACACTTTGACAAGAGTACTTTGCCTGTTTCTTGTATCCAATCCACAAGCACTTTGAAACATAGCTGCATCAAACACCTTTTCTCAACAAGTTCATTTTTCTTTGTTTCCAAACACACAGAGTCAAGCCTCGAGATATCCCAAGGGGTAGCAGATATACTGATCAATGCAAATTTTTTTCCTTCAAATTTTTTCCCCTTTGGTCTTAGTATTTCCTAAGGAGTACGTACAATTTCTTGATATCTAATCTAATTTGTAACAGAAGATGATTCACATTAAATTTATGGGGCTTTCAACAACAGAAGAAGAAAAATATCTGCCACCACATTCAGGGGAAAAAAGAAAGAAAATACAAAGTACACAATACTTCACCAAAGAATGGACCTACTGATATCTATCGCAAGCAAATGATACAGCGTAGTGGTGTTTCATAAACTGTTGCGTGACAGTGATTTCACTGTCACATTGATCACGAGGTGAGGTGCGAGAATTTTTGTCCCGTCCATCTCACTGACCTTTTGGAATTAGTTGGTCCTTGCGGGCAGTTTAATTTACGGCCAAACAAACATGCCCGCGTCATTAGATGCGTACACAGTCCTAACTGAAAATAATGCACATTGTGCAATCCACAAAACCTTCTACATGAATCTTCATCCCAAGCGTGCATGATTGCAGGGGATAGGCCTACACCGTTTGAGGATCAGAAAGACGCTGCGTCCTATACTCCACCATAGAGTTAATGCCCTTCTGGCTCTCTCAAGACAACGTGTCCATGTACTTGATCTCATCAACATTTTCTGCTAGTGTGGCTGGGCTATCAACATCAGAGACAGATGGATGGACAGACATCGTCTCAAAAAGTGCAGTGATCTTCATATGCCAGTAGAGATTCATAAAAATGCGTGTTTAAGCGCAAAAGTCAGATCATGCCAATGCAAATGGAATGCGACAGGGAGAGATTTAGAGAGATGGAGAGGGAGATATAAAGGGAGATATGAAGAGAGACATAAAAGCAGAACGAATGATGCTGATAGAGAGAGAGAGAGAGAGAGAGAGAGAGAGAGAGAGAGAGAGAGAGAGAGAGAGAGAGAGAGAGAAAGAGAGAGAGAAAGAGAGGGGGGATGTAGGAAAGAAGAGATAACAGAAAAGAAAAGAAAAGAAAAGAAAGAACAGGATGAGATAATACAGAACAAAGCATAAGATGCAGCGGAAAAGAGAGATACACATAGAGCGAGGGAGCAAAAGAAAGACATGACCAGGAAACAAAATTGAATTTTAAACATCCTGCAGTAAACCTTTGGTGCAATGCTGGTAAGTTTAAAGCAATTATAAAACATCTATGACATGGAAATAATAGGGTTCAAACTGTTCATTCAGTAACCGAACAACTGCCGTCTTCTGTTCTTGCTTATGAATGGGAACATGAACACTTGCTACCCATTGACACACCATGGGTCTGCATACGCTTTGTAGTTTGTACCCTAGCTCTCCCTGTGATGGCTACAGGCACAATCGATAGTTTGCCAATTTGCCCCCAGCTTCAGCGGCGTTTGTTCTCTGAATGAATGATGAGGTAAATATTAACACTGGTAGGTGTTTGATGAGAATTATTTCAACAGGATGAATTTGCTCTAATAACCCAGAAGCTAGAGAGAGCTTGATGAACCAGCAGAAAGAAAGCAAAACTATACTTCTGTTCAGCAACAGAAGGATGTTGACTCTCCATTATTAAAGTAAATTGTATATATATGAATTAACGCCCTTCTGGCTCCAAACAGAGGATTACTGGATGTAATATAATGTAATACAGAAAATGAATTATTTTGTTTTTGCTCTAATGTGTCTGATTATCGCGTCATCTCTCTCTATCTATATATATATATATCTCTCTCTCTCATGAACAACAGAAATTAATAAATGCCTTGTAATCATTTCATAACTTCCCTTATCTTAAAGAAATATTACCAAAGGGGAAATACATATAGTTATTTTTTGTTTACCTCTTTAATAAAGAGAGGGATATACAAAACTTGATACATCTCAAAAACTGATCAGAATAATTGATTTTGCCATTTCTGCGGTCATGGGTGAAAATTAAATTACATTTTGTAATATATTTCAAAAGACTAATCGAAAAGAGTAAAATTTGGAGTAAATAGAGGACTTAACAAAGCATTTTATGAGAAATTAAATCAAATTCTTATTCATATCTCCTATTTTTGTTCCATATATGTGACACCACACCACAGCATGCCACAGAGAAGAAAGCCCCCCCCCCCCCCCCCCAAAGAGAGTAAAAAGAGAGAGAGGGAGGGAGAGAAAGAGGAGAGAGAGAGAGAGAGAGAGAGAGAGGGACAGAGACAGAGTGAGAGAAAGAGAGAGAAGAAGAAGAGTAGAGAGTAAGAAGGGAATCCATGGGATAAAAGTGCAAGACATGTGGAAGACTGGCTAAGAGTAAGAGAGAGAATTTGTTGCTGGGTACAATCATAGGGTCAGACCAAACAAATATCCAAACCAAATATTTCTGGATTGGGCTATTAGAGAGAGGTGATGACAGCATACAAACCCAGCACACAAACCGCACCAACCCTAAGTCAACCATATATGCAGGGATAGGGATAGAGAAAGAAAGAGAGTGGAATATTAAAGACATGAACAGAGAATATGGAAAGAAAGGGAGATAAATGGGGGAGAATTAGGTTCCGGTGGAAAGAATAAAAACAATTTGTGCACAAGGTGTTGGAACCATGCAATGCTATCAGTCCAAAGTAGAGTCGGACATATGCAGGTATAACATCTGGTAACTTATTGGTTACAGTTACAGAGGCTAGGAAAAGGTGTTTACAGGAAGGGTCATGGGTGGAAAGAAATTAAGTTGTCACAGGGCAAGAAGATGGGAGTGAAGAATATTAAGAGCCATACAGCCAAACTGAAGATTTATCACTTTACCAACAAAGTAATGAAAATGGAGCAATTTAAAGATGAATAACAGGGGGCTATATGATGAAAGAGGAGAAAGGGTGATCTTAGAAAATATGTCTAGGCTGTGTAATGATTTAACAATCATTGACAACAACATAGAATACATTTTTAAAACTCTGACATTTTTGAATCCCTAAAACTAACTTTAGAAACCTAACTAACATAAGACCCATCCATGATTGGAGGTCACCACCAGGTGAAAAGTGACATTAATATTACAATCATATCTACATGTACTGATGAGCTGGGCGCATGATTAGGTCTGACTCTTTCACCAAATCATGCCATACCCATCTTTCCCATCCAAACTTCATGCCTGAAATCACATCAGTGATTACGAAATGAACTCGGTTTATCATCCAACATTCAGCAAGGTAAAACTGTCATCAGACATCTGAATTCATCCCTCACCTACAGACTCTCCGGAACGTACGCTAGCTCATTATCACATTCTCTGTTTGTTGATTGTCACTCGATTGCCATCAACAGCAGCAAAAATTCGCGCCAGACAGTGCTATTTTTCTGGGTGATTTTTAGCGAGGATGCGACGGCGTTTAATTTGCCATTAGAGGCAATCGCCTGGGAACGGTGTTGATCATTCCGAGAGGGCCTTGACTGGTTTGTGTTATCATTGCGTATGGGCAGCTGACTGCTCAGTGAGCGGGCGATACATGGGGGTAATTGTGCTTGAGTAATGTTGACCAGTGGATGGTGAAAGATATCATTAGCGTTGATCTAGATACGACCATGCTCGATCGGCGGCATAAAAACAGGTTTGGGAGACGGCAAAATACACAGGATAGATGAAGAGAGAGGGAGATAGGTAAAGAGAAAGAAACAGATAAGGGGAGAGAGAGAGAGTAGGGAAGGCACGTCTGATTTTTCAGCATGTTTACGCACCTATTCCTAACCTTGTGCCATTTAGCATCAGACAATTAGATAGACATCACAACCAACCTCTCTGCGATGGCATTCAAAATAAAAATACCGGTAGTAGAGCGCTGGTGGAGAATGTCTTCTGACCCAGTTGGTACATTAGAGTTCGTCCTCCCAGGCATTTTCACTCCAAATTTCTATCTCCCATCTTTTTCATATTGTGCTATACCTTGCAGCTACACATTTTTATAGGTCAATTTCACGGCCTCGTGGGTACAGAGTCAATGATTATATGCTGCACATGCATCTTTGCTAGCAGTTTAGACGATTGAATAATCAAATAATTATTATAATGTTGCACGTCCATTAGTATTCCATTTCTCAGGGAATCCCTCTTGTGCAGAAAACAGAGATAATATCACAGTTACCATCCCATTTAACATGAACACAAGGAAGATGTATGTTGTAAAACACAAAGCATACGCTGAAGGAGGTTCCTGATCAAGCAATCCATTTTTTGCTGTTGTGCCTAGCAGCCTCATGGTTCTGCTTCTCCAAAGTGACCCTCATTTTTAAAAGAGAGAGAGGAGGAGGAGATAGATTGACTCATTGAGAGAGAGAAAGAGAGAGAAGAGAGAGAGAAAGAGAGAGAGAGAGGGAGAGAAAGAGAGAAATAAAATGAGAGGGATAGAGAGCGAGCGAGAGAAAGAGAAAGAGAGAGAGAGAGAGAGAGAGAAAGAGATTGGAGGAGAAAGAGAGACAAACAGATAGACATAAAATGAGACATAAAGAAAGGGAGACTGACAGAGAGATCTATACATCCTGGCTTCGATCCAGAGGTTCTTCAGTGTTGTGGCATAGACACAGCTGGAGCTCCATGTAATTGTATGTAACATGTCATCATCATGCCATGTATCCATCCAAAATGAAAGAGAAAATCATGGGGGAATGTCTGAGAACCATTAAGATCTTCACATAGATAATGGGTGCTGAGCAACAACCCCCCATCTTACTCCAATTTCCCCACTAAACAGCGGGAGACAAACTTAACAGGATAGCAAACAATCGCTGTCCCCTCTATTGTAAAAATGTTGCACAAAAAAAAAGGTATGAAGGCCATGAAGGTATTCAATTTGTGAAGCATTGCTGTTTGGGGTATTTATCTCACCCAATTGGAATTTGTGCAATACAGGTCCAACTGTAAGAGACACAGATGTCCTGAACTAGTTTCACTGCATTGCTATGTACAAGGAATAGAAGTCAAGGGCCCTAGCTGTCTTAATACAAAGAGTTGATATCAACCGCAACTAAGAGATAGGAGACTGCAAACTTGCGATTGATTGGAGGACTTGCGATTGATTAGAGGACTTGCGACTGATTTGGATCAATCGTAGCTCTTTGTAAGACGGGGCCCAGAAGTATATATCAGACCTAGACTTGCGAGGGAACGTGCATGTAGGACCAGGACTTATGAGGGATATATATTAGGACCTGGACTAGTTACCTTAGCATTGCTATTTGTAGCCCCTGAGTCCGTCTTGGCCCTTTCCAGCGCTGTGATCAGATCCTCCTGGTCCTTGTTGAGCTTAGGGGAGAAGCTGACGGGCATGACGATGCTACACGAGGGCGACGACGATGTCGACGATGATGACGTGGACACCGAGGAGGCTGAGGGTTGGGGAGGGGTCGGTTGCTGGGTGACCAGGAGCTGTTCTTTCTGCTTCTTCTTGTTCTTGCGTTCTAGCGGTTTCCTCGTCTCTAACCTCTTCTCGTCCCATACACCTGTAAGGATGATAAAGAAGAAAACAAAAAACACCTTTAATTTCTCTATCGATGATGACTAGAGAGACCTACATTGATAAAATATACAGGATGGTATATATTCAAGATTTTTTTTAAAGAGCCTAATTAAATTAACTTTTCTTTTTCCGTAATATTTCTGTTACTTTCTTTTTTAATATTCAACAATGTCTGACAATTTTCCAAGACTATAATGCCAAAAGTGAAACTCTAAATTCCTTTAATGTTTCTGCATGAAAACCACACAATGCATATCATCAGTTAATTGCCTACATTTTCGTAAAGAGAGGTTTCTAATATATTTTTTGAGTGAGTTGGAGAAATGTATTCTTTCATTGTTAATTTGATACACAGAGAAATAATTGTTATCTAGCTATACACATTATCCTACACTACAAATGCCATGACAAGATCACCCCCAAATTTCTGTTTGTACAAATGACTCTATAAAAACGACATGTACCTCAGCACTCATAGAAGCTATGACATGCCACTATAAATAGAAATAAAGGGATAAAAAGAAGAACTTTGAATAGGACTGATCAAAAGTTCATAAAAAGTTCAAGTTCCCCCTATGATACCCAAACACATACTCTATCCCTGACTTGTAGCTTCCCGAGAAGCTCAAACTCTATAAAATCAACAGGAAAGGTTGGAAGGAAGAGAGCTGTGAAGAAAGAGAAAATCTGCTTGGATTCCCTATGAGATGATCGCACAGCACAAGAGGGCATGAGTCAATCCTATGTTGTTTGATACATATACGTTAGTTTCACGCATGCATGTGTTTGTGACTGATGGGTATGGCAATGGGATTTCCCCCTTTTGACAAGGAGGGATGAGCAGGGGAGGGGGGGGGGGGTTGCTGTTTTATCTTTACTACTGTTAGTACAGATGCCTTGCTTTAAAGTGTTCTATATCAGGAAGAATAGGTTATATATAAATTACTTTTATCTTTTTAATAGTCAGAAGAGGAAAAGTTGAACTATAAAAATAATTCCTTAGAGCACCTCAAAAATTGGGAAGGGGATATCCAAAAAAAGCTGACCTGGGAAGAGGATAAAGACGCAATGATTTTTTTCTTTAAAAGAGGGGAAAAAGAGAAAAATAATTGATTTGCGCAAACATGTATCATCATTTCATATACATATCTTAAGATTGACATGCAAGTCTTTAAACTTTACTTTTGAGTATCGGTAATGATCTAAAGAAAAATAAGTCTGAAGAAAATGTAAGTTGGCATTTGAAATATAGCATGTCAAATAGTCTCTGTATTTCAAAACTAAAAGAAAGTCATATTTAAAAAAAACTTGAAGCTAACTACTATGTTTTTCATTCTTGGTGCATGATCTGGTATCCAATAGCGCCCATCACTCCCGCGGCCTCTCAACCGATACTGACACACATCTCTCGGCTCTCCTTTCGCTGGCTGCCAAAGCCTTAGGTGTTACCGGGGATCTCATTTTGAGATCCATTATGTCAGCAGTTGGATTTGGCTCCCCAACTTGGAGGATTGAGCCCGGATTCCGACCAGGTTGGAACCATTTTCCGACCCACCCCACCCCACCCTCCCTACCACCGCTCATCATTCTGTCTGTCTGTCTATCTCGGAGACGACCCACGAAAGACGACTCCCTTTTACCCCGATGTTAGAACGAGGATCAAATTTGTGCTGCCTTGCCGCATTAGCAGGGCTTTTAAGGCCGACATAAGACCTAAATAGGTAGCAGAGTGAAAAGCTATAAAGTCGGGTCAAAATGTGATCTGTATTGATAGGAGACACTTTGCCTGGATTTGCTCTTTATGCTATCTCACAAAGCGTATCACTTCAAATTTGTCTACATTTCTTCGGTAGATCTTCACTAAAGCCCATTGCCCATAGAACCTTTTTTTCTTCTTCAAGCAAACATGTGTCGTCTTCTTCCTTAACTTCTCCTCTAAAATTGTAAATAAAGCTTTAGTAGAGAAAATTGCTATAATTTTCCTCAAGTTCAGTGTAAGTTCTCTGCCCATTGTACCACTTATGGATGATAAAAAAGCCTGAACTTTATACTGCTGCAATTCTAAAATTGTTTTTCTTTTCTCTTCCATTTTATAAAATCAGTTTATACGCTGCAATTGAGAGCCAGAAGGGCATTAAGCCATATCCTTGAAAACAGAGCTACGTTTAATGCCTGTCTAAATCTTGGCTGACAATTTCTTTTGTATTCCCTTCCAAATATCGTCTTTGTCCGACACATACATACCTTTAAATTATGATGGCACCAAACTTGAATAATCTTTTCTAACTCTTCCATAGATACATCATCTTCTCCCCTCACCTTACCCCCCCCCCCCCCCCACCCACTCTCTCTACCTCTTTATCAACCTTACAATTTTTTCATTTTCTTATTCACATTCTCTCATCTTGTTCTGCAACTTCTATGTATATTTTCCTCCTGACTTTTGTCATCTGAAATACATACCTCCTAAACTGAGAAATCCATGTTACCATCTGGTGAAATCTACCTTTTCCCAAATTTAATTCTAAATCAGTCGACTGCCCGTCGAAAAAGGGGGGATAAAATCTGACAAAATCTGAGGGATCATCTTCCCTCTCCCTTCTCCTACGTCACCACGAGGCATGGTGACATCCCAGCTGTACGCCACATTGATTTTACTTTTTCTTACGTTTAACTTGATGACGTCACTCAGCTTCCTGCTTTGCACTTTTTAGAGAAATGTACGTAATTAGATGGGAGTAAGAAGGATGTATGTTCACGCACTGTGTGTCTTAACATGTTCTGCAAGATTGTACCTGGTTGTAAAGACATTTTGTGTTCTTTAATTTCTTCACAGGCTCCACCCCTGTTGCACCATGGACCTGTTTACAAAAGTCCTGGAAGTAGTCATACATTGTAAAGAACTTGCATAATCATGATAAATGCACTTGATAAGAAAATAATTCAAACTATCAGAAGAATATTATTGCCAGTTGCATTTTTTCTGAAGGACGACACAAAATTTGGAGATTTAATGGTGAAAGAAGAAAAAAAAACTAATATAAGTTCATCTCATGGTGAATTAAAATTGAAATATGATTGGAATGTCAGTCTTCAGGCACTGGAATCATCAAATAAGATGATGACTATGGATGGGAGAACTAGAGAGCATTGTGATGTTGACATTGGTTTAAGGCGTTAACAAAACAATAAGCAACATCCAAGCCGGAGCTGCCATCGCCCCTCTTTCTCTTTCTCTCTCTCCGTCCATGCTTCTCCGAAGACAACGCAAGTATGTCAAGTGAGTCACGCGAGACGAAATTGACGTCAGTGCCACGCCGATCACGGACGACCGTAGGAGATTGGTTGAGACTGGGGGAAGAGGAAGAAATTCGGCAGCAATTTGTGACTGGAAGTCTCGGCAATCTGTTGATTGTAATCTTGAGAGGAGAGACTGTTCACGTTTGGCCTGGCCACTGTTTTTTCCTTCTTCACTGGGATTGAATGTCCAGTCAACAGATGATGACATGGGGGTTGTGATTGGATAATTGTGAGGTAACGTGGAACAATTAGGAGCTAATCCGCACATTGTTGAGGGTGTGATGATTTGACATGCACAGGGTAGATTCCTTTATACTTATGTCAAGATACAGTTTTACATTCTAAAGCAACTGGTGCTTTCACATTACTCCCTGAAGTAATTACATCCTATGATAGTTCAAAAGCTACATAACTTAATAGATGAACACACATTTAATACTTCAATTTTCAAAGTGAATTTTTAGGCAAATTTTCAGGTTCTCCTTACATGCCCGAACCAATTCCGTTGTATGACATTTATTCCTCACGATCCTGTAACAAAAAATTCCTCCAATCCCAATCTTTGGTAATACAAATATAATCTGATTCCTATTTATTTAACTATCTCATCTTCATGTTTTGAGATCTGCAAGAAATGAGATGCTTAACATATCGTCAGGCCTCATGTACATTGAATATCAACCAGTCAAAATGTCATTTATTAGACATTTAATGATGATTTGAATCTATTTGGTCTCTGTAAGGATGTGAAAGGTCAAATGAGAGCTCCCTCCTGGCCTAGTAGTGGTGTCCCCCCCCCCCCCCCCCTCCTACCCATACAGGGACAGTAGAGGGCTTCCAGTCTTTACCCTTTCATCAGGTCGCCCATCCAGCCAGCCATCCAGCCAGTGTCAAACCTTCGGGCTAAACCCTCCCTGTTTTTGAGAAATATCACATCTCGCACCCTCCAAGAAAAACAACAACAAGGAAAACTCTGACCCTGGCCTGCTGCCCCCTGTGGCTGACATCAGCACAGCTTCTGAACTGTTTATGAGAAACCAGTGACAACAGACAGACCTAGCTGCAGTCCTCAGGCTTCACCAGGCCAGGGTAAGACCTATGGCTATGGATGATGTGTGGTTTCATCATCAAGCCCAAGACTAACGAAGGAACAACAGGGTGGTAGATGAGTCAGAGGAAAGTAATGATGGTATTGGTAGAGGATGGTAATACTGTAGCAGGAAATAAAGATGTAAACTTTTTTTGATTCTCAATAGTAATTAATGTCTGATAATTGAACCATAAAGAAAAAATTGATTGTTTATACCATCACTTCAAAAATCTGACTGACATGACGTGTGACTTCAATCACGGAATCAATATTCAATGGACTTATCATGAACCCGATAATTCTGTTAATGTTTACCTAAAAGCTAATTCATTCATATCACATTTCCTAATATTTTGATTCTGTATGCATGTGTATAATTATGAGTAAAGAGAGGGGGATGGTGGTTTTGACAGGTTTATCATTGTTTAGCACCTTCATAGCCACCCACATCTAAAAGAAGTATAATCAAGGTACAGAACACCAATCTAGTTATTTGAATATAGCTCAAGCATTCATTCATTTTTAGGATTATGTTAAGAAGACAATATTTAGTTATGAAAAATATTTTCTCTCCTGTCAAAACCAAAAAATCT